ATCATATTCATTTGACATTTTAAAAAAAATAGATATTCTAAAACTATATAAAAAGTAGTATATATATTGAAACTTTGTATATTAATATGATGAATATTAATCAAAATTTTTATAGTTTGAATCTAAAAATAAAAATTATAACAGTACCAGACAACGAATTGAGTAATAGTTTTCCTTTTTGGATTGGTTCGAAACGTCATTCATCTTAGTATTTAATTATATATGGTCAAGCATTTTAATTATTATTATTATTATTAGTCCTTTAAGTTTCCATTATTTTAATGTGAGTTATTATGTTAACTACACACGTTTGATATATTCATAGAAAAATATATTTAAATTATCATAAATTATACTTCTTCCTTTCAAATTATTTATCTAAATTTTTTTTATAAGATCTTAAGAAAAAACAAATAAGAGAATGTGTTATATTCATATGTTGAAGTTTGGCACTTTGCAATGGTTTAAAAGTATGTGTTTCTCAATATTTCTCTTGTCCAAACCAAAACCACATATACTATTCAATTTAATTTTATTAAACTTTGTCATTTTGCATGGATTTTATTTTATATTATATATAAACTATATTGAAAAAAAAAGTTATTTTAATCCTAGATATTTTTCAACAACTACGTATTTTTTCTTATTTTAAAAAGATATTCCAATTCCAGTGTTTGACCAAATAAGAGAATTTTGCATTTTTACCTTTAGATGTAAATATAATTTCTAACTTTTTCTTTTGGCTTAAAAATACCTTTATTTCATAGAAAATGACTGAAAAATATTATTCTTTCACTTTTTGTTTAAAAAGTACTTTTAATTTTTATTTTTTATTCGAGAAAAGACATAAAGTATCTGAAGTTATTTCGAATCTTCAAAATAACATGTAAACTATGCAAACGTTTTATTATCCTCAAAACAATTCTGAACTGATATTATTACATTTTTGTCCACCTGGCATGGAGTATGCACTTTCTTAAAGAGCGTGAACAAATTAAAAAAATAAATATAATTTTATTTTTATAATTATTTTGTTATAAAATATATTTTTTTATTTTTCTTATTATTTTAACTTTTTGTCCTTATTAATTTTCTTTTTTTCTTTCTTCCTTCTTCTTCAGAAATTCTTTCTCATTTTCGTGGTAACTTTTCACTTTCAATATCATTTTTTATCACTATTTACCTCCTTTTTTACTACTATTAACTAGTATTTGTACCCGCGCATTGCGCGGATATTTCAAACGTCATAATGATTAAATCAAAAGCAATTTATGAAATATACTTATAGTGTTATTCTAATAGTTATGATTAACTCTCTTCAACTTTAAAATTATATCTAAATATTTTATCATATTTTGAACAATTTGATAACCCATTAGATTTCAAGATGATTAATAGGTATTATTTATCTTTTAAATTCAAATTTCACTTAAACTTTTTCAATTTTCGGAGGATTCTGATTCTTACAAAATTATCATTTTTAGTTTTGAAGTTATATGAAATGAGATAAATTAATTAATAGAATTTTAAGGTAATAGAATTTATTTTACAATTTTTTGATTTATTTGTTATTATTGGATTACTTGTTTAATTCATTATTAATACAAGTTTAATTTACTCTATAGATCATTATGTGTAATATATTTTTAATTCAACTTTGATATGTGTGTAATACATTTTTAGTTCAAGTTTAATTCATTTTGCAATTTGTTATGTCTCTTTATTTATTGGGATTAAATTATTTAATTAATTAATTAATTATTGATTCAAATTTTATTCATTTAGAAACAAAAGAAAAAAAATAAGACAAAGAGAGAGCACAGCAGCAAAGAGAAAGCAAAAAATAAAAAAAAAGCAATAATAAAAAAAAAGTAAGAGAGAAATATATACAAAAAAAAAAAAAAAGCAAGAGAAAGAGAGAAGAATTAATAAGCGGAGAGAAAAAAAAAGAGAAAGAGACGAGAGAAGAAAAATCTAACAAATATATAATTTTGTTTTATATTGTTATAAATGATAATATTTAAAGAATATATCTAAAACAAGTAATTATTTTTTAAAAGGGATCCACTTAAGTAATTAATCCTTTTTGGATGTGGTTTTTCTTGAGTTGTGTCAATGTTCAGAGTCCAACTCGCCCTACTCGATCCAACCCATTTAGGTTGGGTTGACTATTGACCCGTTCATTTGTTAGTTCAATTATTTTAATACAATCCATTAAAAATTGAGTTGATATGTTACTCAAATTAATTTTTGAAAAATCTTGTCAAAGTATTATTATTATTTTTTTTGATTTTATATGTTATATATAGTTATAATAAAGAAAAAAAGAATAATTTTATTAGTATTAAAAGCTTATAAAATAACAAATAAATCTATTGAAACTTAGCAAAAACTGAGCGCGTAATGTATTATGGCAAGATATAGAATTTGATTTTCCATAGTGATATTACAATATGCTAATATAATGATTTATATAGTTTTGGACTTCCCTATCATAATCCTCCTCATAATTAGTCACAAAAGAAAAGAATAATAGGTGCATGTATAGATACTATGCATATGTTTAGATTTAAAATCCTAATCTCTAGTTATTACTAAAAATAAGGAGCAAGGATGGTGGAGAATTTCTAAAATAAGAGGATATCACTAACCAAAAATGAACTAAATTCCCTCAATAGACATAATTCTTTATCAAACTAAATAAGATGAGAGTCTCTTTGTGTTTATATCTAAATTTTTCCTAATGATACAACATTTGACAAAGAAATGGCTGTTGAGTCAAGCAATATTAGTAGTTTGATATGGACAAATGTTAAATATTCTATAGAATTTTCTTCCACTTTTACCAAAAAACATCCATTTGTTTCATTCACTTTGTTATTCTTCATCTTGTTTTATGCACTTTCACCATCAAACACATGGTTTTTCATATATTCCTTACCCCTTTTGTTCTTTTTCACTGTTCTTCTTATACTCTTCTTTAGCATTCCAAGTTTCAAACACTTTGAAAGAGATGTTGATCATTCGAAACCTTCTGAGAATACAATCAGTCACCATGATGAAGATGTCATTGAGGATAAACGAAAGGCTTTCCTTCGAGCTAGATCTGTTAGACGAAGAAAATCCAAGAAATGTATAGAAACTGGTGCTGAGGAGTTTATACAAGGTGGAACGTTTCGAATGCCTTTAAGTGATGATCATGATCATGATGATTTTGTTGATAAAGGCGCGTTGATTGAAGAAAAACTGAAAGATATACGAGAGGTGGAAGTGCATTCGATAAGTCATGGTCGTGATGAATGCTCTTCTAGCTCAAGTATTTTCAAGAATTCAAGGCCTGTTGAGTATTCTTATGAAGGAAGTGGAAAATGTTTCAAATCATATAGTTGTATGTATGAGAGAAGAAGAGAATGTTTTGGTGAAACAGAATATGATGGGGCTAGAAATAAGGGTGTGCAATGGAAAGATGATGATCAAAAGAATCTGATGGATCTTGGACTTTCTGAGATTGAAAGGACTAGAAGATTGGAAAGTTTAATGGCACGAAGACGAGCACGAAAGATGTTGAGCCTACAGGTTAGAAGATCATTGATGAATATAGGCTGCAAAGAAACATTTCCTCCAATATCTTCAATTTTAATTCCAAAACATAAAGAATCAACTAATCAATTTTCAACTACCCCGGGTTCAGCCCCTTCGATTTTGGGACCTAATCGGAATCCTTTTGACCTTCCTTATGATCAACATGAAGAAAAGCCTAATGTAAGAGGTGGAAGTTTTATGCAAGAGTTCATGTCAGCTCAGGAACAGAAGGAGTTGATGTTATCCAGGCATGGAAGCTTCTGTATGGGGACTGCATTGTCAGGGGATTTGAATCTTGATCAGCGCGAAAGGACTCAACGTTCTGATCTTCCATCCAGGCAATGGTTTCCAGAGACATCTGAAAGTTCCAAATCAAGACACCCGTTAGGTAAAATGACGTATCTATTCTTTTCCGTCTGAATACCTAGATAGCCCCTTAAACTTGACATGTTTTATAAGTTAAAACACCTATCACGACCCTCCGCCTTTATCTCAGGCTTGAGACCAAGAATGTTCGTGATCTCATTCTGGGTGACGTTTGTCCTTCAATACTTCCTTTAAATGAAAATTAATAAATGTGGTTTGTTTGCAGGTAAGGAAGAAAATGACAGAATAGTTGAAGAAGTACCATCTCAAGCATCCGAACCGGAGATGAACGTGGTCTATAAAGGAGATCAAAGTAGGGAAGTCCAGGATGAAAAAGACAGTAGTGAAGTACAGATAAAGTCAGTACTAGTGGAAGATATTAGCAATAGGGTAAGTTCATCATCTTCGTCGGAAGATGATGAACCAATCTATAAGATAGACAAAGATGCAATCTTGAAGTCTATTGCTTCTCCTGCTCTAAGGAACTTATCAGGTGATCCATCGCCTTCTGGTTTATCCTTGTTGGAGAACACGATAGAGAACGAACGTTTATACTATCCTAATCGTCCTATGCATCACACTCCCGGCCAGTCTATTGCTTCTGACTTGCAAGTGGAGGTTTCTGAAGTTGGTTCACCTCCCTTGACAGACGATGGGAACTCATCCGTGGGTGAGGAGATCTCTATAGATGGGGAGATAGAAAAAGCTATAACGTCTAGCAGTGAGGACGTTCTGATGTCTTCATCTCACCTAGCTAGAGTAGATGAAAATGAATCAAATTCCAGAGAAGTATGCGAGGTCACTGAACAAGATATAGTAGAATTTGGATTTTCGAGGTTCCATATGTCTGAGAATAATGTGCCACAAAATATTCCATCAGAACGAACAATCGAACCGTATTCCACTGGTTCAAGCTCATTTCCACCTCCAAGGACAGACAGGAATCAAGCTAGCAGTAGTTATCAACAGCGTAGGCCGGAAGGACTTTCTGTAGTCGGTGAAAGATTTCAAGGTTCATTACTACAGCCAGAATTTCCAGCACAACAACTCCCTTTCGCATTAACGTCATTAGTATCACCGACATCTGTTCTACAACCAAATTGTTTGATTGAACATGGATCCTCTTCGAGTATTGATCAGCTACAAAATGATAGGTCAGTGAACATATCTAGTGAAAGATCAGATTCAATTGCTTCACAGGAATCAGATCTTAGTTTAAGCAACTTAACATTACAAGTTTCTGAATTACCTTCAGAAACAGAAAATTCAATTTCAGCCAAAGAGAACGATGTCGCTGCACTCGTTCTAGACAGTGCCAGCGAACAACATAGTGAACCTGTGGCATTTTCGACTATTGGACAAGGACATCACTCATTTGAAGCCTCTTCTAGTACATCATCGTCTAAGTCTGTTTCGCAACCAACATTTTCCATTGATAAAGGATCTAGTTCAAATTTGGAGGCTCAACAAGTAGATAGGCGCAAACTAAAAAATAAGCTGACAGATGAAGTAACTGCTGAAAGTTGTGATCCAACCAGTACTCGGAGCTCAAAACTTACGTTAAGAAATCCGACAGTGCAAAGTTCAGTACCACATCCGAAGACACAGAAGTCTGCAGAAAATTCAAAGTCTCTCCCTAGGAATGAAATTCATGAAGCACTTCACGATAATGGTGGTAAACAGCCTATTGAAGAAGTTTTTTCTACAATTAGCCAGAGTATTGATGGTTCACAAGCATCATCATCATCATCACCACATGATTTGGTGGTTGAACAAGTTCCGAGGGCCTCTACTTCATCCCCCTCTCCCAACACTATGATTCAACCAAAGTTCTCAGCAAGTGAAGGCTCCTCGACTTCTGAAACACAGAAAAGAATGCAGGTTTGGTGATTTTAATGAATTTGACAATGATTAGATTATGCAAGTTAAACGAGTTGATTTCTCTGATGGTTACTCAACTAATAGTTATCATCTTAGAAATTAACCTTTCTTCAACAAAAAGAAAGTGACTTTATGAGATAATAACTACGATCCAAGTGACCATATAAGAAATCAACTCCATGTTAAATTAATTGATATAAGTTGAAATCCAGCATGCAAACAATACTTTTTGTGAAGTTTAGTTGTGTATCGACTTGTTAAAGGCAGAAAAGATGTATAATCGTGTATAGTTAAAAATAATGAATGTGTATCATAAGTTTGTAATAAAATTATAATGTGTCAGTAAAGCAGTGTTTTTGGCAGACAGGAAAATGTAATTGCACCTGCATTTTCAAGTTCTGCATAACAAAACCTAATAGAAACAACATTTTCTTTCCAGTTTCTCACTTATAGAAGTGTTTGAAATTTCAAGTATTGTTTTTTCTTTTTAATGTAACTTAGGATCCGATACCTGGAATTCCATCGGAGAGCTCTGTCAATCAAGACTTGATCAGCTTACAATCTTTAATCCGAGAAGTCCCTACAGCCTCGAGTTGTTCATCATCACCAAAGTCCGTACTCAAACCAAAGTCCTCAACAGGTCAAGGCCCTCTGTTGAACTTTGACAGGGAGGAACAAATAGGTGAAAGTCCAAGTCCAAGAATGTCTAGAACTTCATTAGTTGAGTCTGCATCAGACCAACTTCATCATACAGATGCTAAAACGGTACGTTTATATAGACTGGATCAAATGATACCTTCAATTACTTAAGTTATATATACTGACAGTATGGTAGGATTATTTTTGTTAGTATGATAAACCAAACCACCCTTTAGAGAATAGGTTCTCCTATTTTCGCACTTATCAGTACATAAAACTTACCCTCTCTTTGAAACAGCATAAATAGATGGTCTTTTCTTGTTACATTCATTATATCATATTTTTGTGCTTGTGAAAATAATGTAATACGGAGTCACATAGGCTCAACGGTGGTTAGTTGAACATCCTTTGCCAGGAAAAATAAACCGCATATATAATAAACTATACGTGTATGTTGAATCTAGAACATCCTTAACGAAATTCATACTTTGTCTTTGATTGCAACGTTATACAGAAACCATCCAATGATGAAGAGAAGTTTCATGAAGAAGCCACTAATCACAATGATGTCAAGAAGGAGGACTTACCTAAAATGAGCCTCAAAGAAGTCTCTGTAGAATCACCAAACAAGACCACTATGGTGTCTTCCAACACCACCAACAACAACAAACAAGAAAAGACAAGTGATGTTACAAATTTTGCTTCCAGTTCAACTGACAAGAATGAAATTTTAGTCACTCCTATTAGTGCAAGTGAACAAACTTCAGATAAGGGTAATTCTGCAGCATTAAAGGAAACACATAGTGAAAAAAGAGATTGTAAAGAGAAGGCTAAAGACTAATAAGGGGATAGTTAACATGCACTTGTTTTCTATATTGTTCAGACTCTTCAAAAACACCGAGGGATATTTTAGGAGAGTTCAAACAACATAGTTTGTTTCTTCTTTTCCCATGAGACTCCTTAAATGTGTAACTCAATTTTCATTTGTAAGATACCTGGTGTATATAGGAGCTCTATGAAGTTTGATGTATACACATAGGAGAGTCAAGAGGAAATTTATTGTTGTATAGTATATTAGGATGTATAATTTATAGAGAATGACACTGAAAACATGTTTGTAGCAGGTAAACCTGCACTCATATTTATGTTACTATTTTCAGTTTTTAGAAAAAAAATTATGCTATTAATATTTATATGGACTAATATGTGTGGATGATTCTCACAAAGGACTATTTTTCACTCAGGTCGGCTCAAACATATTAGTGGCCTAAAACAAAAATTAAACGGGGCCTTAAACTTGAATTGTTAATACTTTTATATAATTGATTTCTTTCGTCTTCATTTTATTTTAATTTTTTTTCATGCACTCCAAATATGTCAATTTTCTTCTAATACTTCCTTCATTTTTCATGAAAAGTTAATTTGTTAGGTACATATGAATATGTATGAGTATATTTTGAAGATTAACAAACCGGTGCGATGCATTTTGGAGCAACCTGAGCAAACGTGAATTCATTTAACATAGCTTACTGGAAGTAAAAATCAAAAATTAAGTACAACTTTGTAATTTATTAGCATACTTAAAGTAGAAAAATTATGTGAATAAAGATGTAAGAAGGAATTCAAAGCCAAGTGAAAGAAGGAATACTATATCGTATTTGCTTAAGGAAAACATATGTCTTTATTTACTTTCTACTTGCTTAAGGAAAACTTACTTGAGGCGACAAAAAGCGTAAGATTTTTGCAGCAAAGACAAATAAGAATAAGAAGCCAAAGTTGAGTTCAACAAGGATTTGATGCGACAAAGTTAAAGTTGAAGAAGAAGTGAACTAGGAGTTCCACACAAAAGAGGACTCCTACGTGAAGTAGGATTTCTAGTTGAAATAGGTTTTGGATTTAAGTCCAAATCTATAGGGCGATAGTTTCGCTTGAGAAAAATTGCGCACTTACATAGAGAGAAGATCAAAACATGATCAAGAGGTTTGAAAGAGTTTTGAGATTTATTGGGAGTGTTGCAATTTGTGAGAAAAAATTGTATGATTGTATTCAAGAGTCTTGTTTACAATATGAGTTTTGTGAGTAGGAGTTGTTCGACAAGTTGTAGAACTTGAAGAATATTAGAAGATATAAAACCTGGGTTTGTGTCTTTGGGTAGCTAGAGATTAGAGTTAATAATTTCTTAGCTAGGAATTAGAGTTTATAATACCTCTAGGAATTAAAACTTATAATTCCTTAGGTTACATAACTTTGTAATTTTTTGTTGACACATAATGTTTAATAAAGTGGAGTTAAATCCTACAGAGGTGTAGGTCTTGGGTTTTTCACCCTTAAGAGTTGGGGTTTCCGCGATAAAATATTGTAGTATTATTTTATTTGTTTCACAAAACGTAACTGCTGTAATCTGCAAAAGAATTATTTTATTGTGTTGTTCAAATTGATTATCGTTAAGTTTCAAACAAACAGAAACACGTTGTCTGTACGTATTCCTGTGAAGAATTCAGGAGTGTAGAATTCCAACAAACTTTTTCTACAAATATTATTCAATATTTGTTAAATAATAACTTATAACGTATTATTATTATTAAAAATGAAACCCCTTAAATTTGAGGGCCTAAGACACATCTTTTTAAAAACATTGTCGAGTTAGGTCCTCGACTAAAAACAAGCAACACGAGATAGTTACGTGAAAATCTCTTATTGTTCAAGAAAGGAAAGAATCATGCCCTACGTATCATGTAAAATTTCACCAACATCTTCATTAAACATGAACCAAGATTCAGATTATTATACGGGTATTTTTAGACCAAAGTATTCACTACAAAGACATTTTTGCACCAAATCAAAATATTGACGAAAAGGACATTTTACAACCAAACTATAAATGGAGGATATTTTTTACCCTTTTCCTTTTTAATATAATGATCAAATAATATCGGAATGCCCGATAAAATTTTCTGGGACACGTGTACAGATTCTTTCTTTGTAATTTTGTCTTCTTCCTAAAAGACAAATGTTTGTATTTCTGTGCACTTTTCACTTACTCTGCCATTTTTTCTTCTTCTTCTAAGTTTAACTTGCAGTGAGCGTTAATGGCTATTCCACTTATCACCATTTTCTTCATTTCTCAATAATCCCACTTTTAAGTTCTTTCCCAGTTACTATTAACACAAATATTTAAGAAAAATCTCAACTTTTTTGTTGAATACTTGTAATAAGCAGAAATGGATTTTGTGTACAAGAACCCATCAGCTCTTATTGAGGAAAGAGTAAAAGATTTGTTGTCTCGGATGACACTTGAAGAAAAAATAGGCCAAATGACTCAGATCGAACGCAGTGTTGCTACCCCCTCTGTCATTACTGACCTTTCTATAGGTATGCCTTTTTTTCCCTCTTTGCCCTAAAAATAATAATGAAGGTTTCTGAGTTGGAGTCGGGATTTGAAGCTTATGAATTTGGGAAAATTTAGTTCATTTTAAGTTTTTGAGTTTGTAGGTTAGTAGGTAGTTGAGAATTGCCTTGTTTTTAAGGGTTTAGGTTTATTTGTGTCTGTCGTTGTATTAGCCGTATTAGCAGTTTTAGTTTTTGATATCTATCATCATTTGTTTGTTGTGTTTGTGTTACTGCACTGCTTTTCTCGTATTAGTGTTATGTTCTCTTGTTCTTTACATCTGAAATTGGTGAGGGTCTTTCGGGAACAACCTCTCTATCTTCACGGGACAGTGATGAAGTATGCTTATACTCTACTCTCCCTAAACCCCATGAGTGGGATTTCATTCGGTATGTTGTTGGTGTTGTTAAAGTATTGAGTTCTAAACGAAATTTACACATATTCATCAGACAAAAACGAAATTTGGATAAAAGCTATTGAGTTAGAACCAAAGTGCTAGGTCCACGCCAGTCAAGGTGATAGATTAAATTTGTTGTTGGAGTAGATATAAGTGTGATATTTAGAGCACTTTATTTAGCATTGGAATGAAATCAACCTGGATAGAGAATAATCAAGATAAATAATAGGTTTAAGTTATATACACTGACGAGGTAACATCAGTGTAGTTTAACCTGTTACATTAGGTTGCTTACCATTTGGTATAACTTATAAGTTACCAATGAATGATTATTAAGTAGAGTTACATGCAATGACCTGGTTGTGCAACTATTCTATTCCATGCCTGTGTATAGAACGAGAGCTCATAAATGGATTCATTTAGGCGTTATTAACTACCTTATAAGCATTGTGTTTAGCAGGCTTTATTTAAGCGTTTATCGGAAACATCTCTATCTCTACGAGGTAGGGTAAGGTCTGTATACACTCTACCCTTTCGAGATCCACTTGGTGGGATTGCATTTGGTATGTTGTTGTTGTAATTGCCTTATAAAAACTAAGGTGGTTCTAACTAGTTGGGTAAGTGTAAGATTTAGTTAACCCCTTACTCAGCATTGGATTGAAATGGACTTGAATAGAGTGGATGGGTATATAGGATGCATTTAGGTGATTCTAATTAGTTGGGATAAGCTAGTTATCCATGTAGAGGGACAAGTGTGAGATTCAGAGAATCCTTTATTTTGAATTGAATTGAAATGAGATGAAATGAACTGAATAGAGTGGAATGCATATAGATGACTCTTTTAGTTGATACTAACTGGTTGCTGTTAAACTAGCTATGTATTTAGGATAAGATTGGGACTTTGAGAACACTTATAAGACGAAATGGACCTAAATGGAGAGGAACAGGTATAGAGGATTCTATTCCCGGTCCTAAGATGTTCTGGAATTGTGACATATTGCTTTGCTGAAATTTATTTGAACCTTTTTCGTGGCGCAGGGAGTATACTCAGTGTTGGAGGCAGTGCGCCATTTGAGGATGCTCCATCGGAAGCTTGGGCAGATATGGTTGACGGATTTCAAAAGGCTGCGCTGGAATCACGGCTTGGGATTCCGCTTCTTTATGGAGTTGACGCTATTCATGGCAATAACAATGTTTATGGTGCTACCGTTTTTCCACAAAATGTGGGCCTTGGAGCCACCAGGTTGAATTAATGTCAAGCTTTGATCTTTATTACCAATTCTTATTGATAACTGGCATTTAAGATCAATACCTAAATTAGATAAATATCGAGCAGAGATGCAGACTTGGTTCAGAAGATTGGGATTGTGACTGCTCTTGAAGTCAGGGCTTGTGGCATTAACTATACTTTTGCTCCCTGTGTTGCTGTAAGTTGAACGTGTTACTTGTCCCTTTATTGTCTTTGTTTTAGGTCAATTTCATGGATGAATGAAGTAAAGGAAACATAAGACGTTGGACATATGTACACTTAGAGCAAGATGGAAATAGGATACCCTAAGTATCACATCAAAATTTATAATTTGAATTCTTAATTGGTCCTTCCGTTACAAATTTTTTGTCCGGTTTTGACTGGGCATTGAGTTAAAGAAAGTTGCGAAAACTTACAAATCTTGTGGTCTTAAGCTATAAATATGTAGAATTTACCAAAATGCCCTTTAATATTGTGTTCTTAAACATGTCATGTGAGTGACAATTAAAGAGTTGTCAAAAAAGAAAAGATACATTCTTTTTGAAACGGACTAAAAAGAAAAGTAGGACAAACAAATTGAAACAGAGGGAGTAGTATGTTGCTAACTGAGACAAGAGAAACATGATTTGTCGTTTTTCTTTTTGGGAATTCTTGGTTAAAATTTTTATGTTCCCAGTACCTCGTAACTGCTATCTCTCTAGAAGTAGTACTTGTTTTTTTTTGTTTGTTTGAGAAGATAAGCAGCTTGTATATTGATAAAGAGAAACTATGTAGTACCAAGCTGATGCTGAGCAATACCTCTCTAGTTGTTATCTCTTTTTAACTCTATTGTCTTGAGGCATCTTGACTTCTTCATTTAAATAATGTGAAACAGGTATGTAGAGATCCCAGGTGGGGAAGATGCTATGAGAGTTATGGCGAAGACACCGAACTTATTAGGAAGATGACCTCAATTGTCACAGGCTTGCAAGGGCAACCACCTCCTGGATACCCCCAAAACTATCCTTTTCTAGCTGGAAGGTAGTAGAAGTTGCCATAAAACAAGTTCCAAAATTTTGTATGCTTCTCTGAATATATATAAAATTTATTTCTCTTGTATTTTACAACCTATAATCTTAAGTCTTATGTGCATTCAAATGCTATTCCACATGTTGCAATTTTCAGCAGAAAAGTCATTAGGGAAGGAAAAGTAGAAGCATAGCTAGAGTTGAAAATAAAAAAATCAGTGTTGAAAAGTGTGTCTTAGCTATTATTACCTTATTGTTGATCATTCGCCAGATACTTCTACAGCTTTCTACTTTTGTATTTTTTGTTCTCCTAATGGCAAGGATCTCTTTGGACTGATTGATGAATTTACTCCAGAGACAAGGTTGTTGCCTGTGCAAAGCACTTTGTTGGAGATGGGGGTACTGACCGAGGTATAAATGAGGGAAATACCATATCATCGTATGAAGATCTAGAGAGAATACATATTCCCCCATATATTGACTGTATTTCTCAGGGAGTTTGCACAGTAATGGCATCCTACTCTAAATGGAATGGAAGCCACCTGCATTCTAGCCACTTTCTTCTTACTGAAGTTTTGAAAGGGAAGCTCGGATTTAAGGTAAGGATTGCCTGTTCTCTTAATGCTCTATGGTTCATTTGAAGTCCAAATTTTGGACCATTAGTTCAACATAAAAATCCTCTAGATTGTTAGATGCTTTTCTCATTTCCTTACCATGCTTAGTAGGGGAAGTGATTGAACATATTGCGGTTCCAAAATGCTGAGTTTCAGGGCCCATTTTTGATCGGTATTGTTCTTTAAAATAATGTAGAAAACTAATCAAATTGGTCTGAAGCCTGCACATGTTTGGACTTTGTATTCAGCAAACACAAAAGATTCTCTCAGCAAAGAGCTAGAGAAGTTCATGTGGCTTGGAGTTTGTTCTACTTAGTTTAAACTTCACCAAGCCGAAAGTGTAAAAACTTGTTTCGATGTGCTTGCTTCAACTTACAAAGGAGTCGGTAAGGCAAAGAGAGTGGTAAGTACTC